ATTTGCATTTACGGCAGCTGTTAAGGGTAATATAAGCGAGTTTGCTGGTCATTCAATAGCCGTTGATGTTAGTTGCCTCCTTCACCGTGGTTTATTTGGATGTGCTTCAGCAGTTGCACAGGGCGTCGAAACGGACTTGTTAGTTTTTTAAGTTGTTTAGTGCGCTTTACTTGAGTTTACTAAAAAAGAAGCATTTATATCTGTTTGACAATTTTTTTTTGTATTTTTCAGGTCTTTTTGGGCTCTGATTTGGTCTTTGTTTACTATGATTTTTTGAACAAAGTCTTCAGCAAATTTTATTTGCAGTTACGTTAAATATGTTACTAAATACGTGAAGGTCTTAATCTCGATTGGTTGCCACGTTATTTTAGTTTTTGATGGAAAACCGTTGCCGGCCAAAAAGGTTTGTATTTGATGTTTTACAGCTTAGGATGATACTGAATGAGGACTACTACTTGTAAACTTATGAAATCTTAAAAATCTTTTAGTTATATAATTAAAATTGTTATAGGTGAAATTTAGAAGTTTACATACTGGAATGATATGTTAAGAGTCTTACAGCCTTTTGCAGGATACGAATGATTTAAGAAGAGAAAAACGTGATTTTAATAAACGTAAGGGAGAGCAGTTGTTGAGTGAAGGGAAAACTAATGAAGCCTATGATTTTTTTAAGAGAAGTGTCGTGATTACTGCAGAAATAGTCGAAAATACAATTGAGGTATTCTAACGAATATTCAAAGTGTCTCATTGTTTCTAAGTTTTTTTTTAGGCTTCAAGGTTAGTATAATTTGTAAATCGTTTTCATATATCAGTCCATAAGAACGTTTTTTCCAGGCTTTGCGTTCTTTCTCAATGGTGGATGTTCTGGTCGCTCCATATGAATCTGATGCGCAACTTGCGTTTTTAACAAAAACTAAAAAAGCTCATGCTGTAGTCACTGAGGACTCTGACTTAATTGCTTTTGGTTGCGAACGGGTTAGAGTTTTGAATAGGAGCCATAAGTAGCTTTAAGCTTCATATTTTCTACGAGTCGGCTAAAGAATTTTTTGTTTTTGGGGTCATTTTTGTGTATTAAGATAATTTTCAAACTGGATCACAAGGACGGCTCTTGCACTGTGTACGAACAGGAGAAGTTATCCACCTGTTTCCAAGGAGCGCTTGCAAAGGAGTTTGATTTTATAAAATTTCGCCGTATTTGTATCCTGGCAGGATGCGATTACCTACAGGTACCTCATTTTGAACACTAATTTAAAACTAAGTTTCAACGTAAAGTTTTTCAGTCTGGTTTGCCTGGTGTTGGATTGAATAAAGCGACGACATTTTTTTCGAAAGCGTCTGGAAGTGACCTTCGGCAAGTGAGTTTACCTTTCTTTTTCTTCTCAACTGATTTCCAGATATCTTTTTTACAGATTACGTCAGAATGAAGAATGCGATAGAATAAATTTTAAAAATTTACTGAAAGAGTGTGACAAATTTATGTTTTATTTCGTTAGGTTTTGCTGCTAATCTTGAACTGTATGCGGCTGCAAGTGTTTGACGTGAAAGAAATTTTCTTCAATTCAAGGCGTATTTGTTTATCGTGATTTTTGTTACTGCAAGTCTTGTTACCTCTGACTCTTAGAAAGTTTTACTTGAAAAAGGGAGAAATAAAATGGTGTTCTTTCTGAGGCATATCAAGTGAGAATTTAAGTTTGTAATATTGTAATTTAGTGAAGTAGTTGTAGCATCTAAATTGAATTTTGTGCTAAGTTTGTTTTTCATCCAGGTTCTTCCTCGTTTGCCGCGCTATTTGAATATGAAATCTTTGAAAATTACGAAGGAGTTTATTGAAGATTTTATTCGTGCGGAAAATACATTCTTACATCAAATTGTATATGATACGGGTGAGCGAAGGCAACGACCACTGTACGATTACCCCAATAATGAAGAAGAGGATGAAGATGATGTTAGTAGTTGATTAAAATAAGATTTTTAGCTTCTAAGTCTTACAAGTCTTCCAAGTCTTATCTATCTGTTTTCCATTATCGTCGCTCTATCTTTTATCTTGGAGTTGTCTCCTATCTTGTTTTAGAGAGGATTAGTTAGAGACTGATATGGCATTGAATCAATGCGATATCATTTAATAATTTCAATTTATATTTGCCAATTCCTTCAACGATTAGTTAAGCTTTAGTTTGTTGGCATTTCAATGGCTGACCAGAATACTCCCAGCTTTTCCTACGCAGGGGAGATACAGGGAGCGACGTTAGCTATGAGGTAAACTTTCTTTGATTTTGCAGGGCTTCAAAATACTGGGCATTTTTTACAAAACTAGTAACTACTTTTAGGCTAGCCTTGGGCAATAGGACAGATGGCACTCACTTAACGGACAAATTTATTCTTCCCGACGAAATACCTGAATGGTCAATATGGAGCTCTAATTATAAATCAGGTGATGAAAGAAGGCGATTAAAGATGGAAGAACGGGAGGCAAAGAAACAACAGTATGGAGTCTTTTCGGTAACGCGAATTGAATTTCTCTTTCATTTCTTAGATTGTACTGAGTTTCAGCTGGCAGTCAGGTAGTGGAATTTCTTAAAATCTTCCTTTATTTTATATCTATGGCTTTGGGAACTAATAATATGCTACAAGAGTTTGATAGTTTTTTCCCCTGATGATCAGTTTTTTAGTCATCTTGCGTTCGGACGGTGAGAAGGTCTTTGGCAACAGAAATTGGCGGTATTTCTGACGAAGGGAACATAAACTTAGATCATGAAAAAGAAGCTGTCAGCACCAGCAAAGGTTTTGAAGAGGACGATGATTTTATTGACACGTCTAAGAAAAGCAAAGCTCTCAAACCGCAGAAAGTTCAGAAAAAGAGCATCAAGGTTATTCAATGCTTTT